TAAATAACTGCCTGCCGACAATTGGCCTCACTTAGTCTTAGAATCTTAGACCAACTTTATAAGTTTCAAAAGTAATGAGAGACCATGTTAAGAAAAACCAAATAAAGCCCCATTTCCCACTATTTTATCCCTAGATTGTAAAATTATCAGTACCATTACAAAACATTCGTTTTTATTGCATAATCAAAGCACAGAATACAACAGTGATGATATTTGTCTAAGGGCTGTTAGACTTCATCCAGAGAATGTTACCTCTTGACTTAATTCATGTGATTTATTACTAGCTAGTGAACACTATCTCTATCAGTCTTTGAAACGCAATTGAACTTTGAAAGTTACACAAATGTCACATCTCGCTATAATCACCTCAAACAAAACAAAGGAAAAACTCTATTTTCTTTTATAGGATAAACTTACTTTCACACGCAGTATTTACCCTCAAGCATAAAACCAATCATGGAATATATAGCTGTTTCGAGAAAGGTGGTCGGAATAAATAGCCCATTTCCGAATCACCCTTGGCCTCATTTTCAAAACGAGTCCTGGTGCTCAGCCTTTCATATAATAATAAGTTTTCAATCACATGCAAATTAAACTCATTTTCACAAGAATGGTTGAGCACCAGGCCTCGTTTTGAAAAAGAGGCTAAGGCTAATCCAGAAATGAGCTAAGGGTAATCTAGAAATGGGCTATTGTGATAACTTCTTAGGGTATTGTGGGTAGTTTTCAGGTCACAGCACCTGGATGCCAGAAAAATATGAGAAACAATATCATTTTTAGGACAAGGAACAAAGGGTTTGATTGATCGGTTTTTTCATTTTTTTACTTAATAAAATTAATTGATTACCGGATATCTAGATTACTTTTCGAGACTGTCGCATGCGGTTTTGTCCGTTTTTTCCGACAATCTTTTCGAAACAGCTATATACCTTATAACACTTGGCTACCGTTAAAATGCCCTTCATTTGATCCTTACAGTGTCCATGTATTATGGACTAAATGTGATGATTAGACCGAAGCATCGACGAAGACCGATACCGAAGACGTATCCACCTCACTCTGTCCAGTGGGTACCGGAAAGGGTCGGCGACGATATTGTATTAGTGAAGGATTGCGGAGAAGAGTAACAGCAAGAAGCCAGCGATTGACCGCCTTCTGTGACAGGCGTGGATGGCGAATTTCACGTGTAAATCCTGTTTCAAAGTTACAAAAATTCTGTAAACGGTCAACTATTAAAGTGTATTTGAGTAAGTTCAAACTGCGTTTACTCTCTCAGAGCCGGAACTCAGGCACTGTTCCACATGTCTATTTTATATTCATCAAATGACATACCAGTGACTCGTTTTGGCTCCCCAACATTGTGTGGCTGCACAGAGAGGTTGGAATGCTCTGTCATGGAGAGATTTTTTAGTTACTTAGTTAAATATAGCTATAGCTAGTTGTTAGTATAATTTCTCAAGTGGTTATGGAGATGCACACGCTCTGATTGGTCGAGGACTGCGTCATATCTCGCTATAATCACCTCGCGGGAGGTAGAAAGTAAGACTCGATAACTGACGGACTGACTGATCGTCTCACTAATTATTGACAGAGTGAGGGACTGGGTAACTGAGTGATTGAGTGACTGACTGATTGACCGATTGACTAACACGACTGACTGGCGAACTTATTGACTGGCAGTCAACGACTGACTGACGGATCGATTCACTAATTATTGACAGAGTGAGTTTCTGACCGACCGACTGACCGATCAACTGACTGACGCACTAACCGACTGCCGAACTAATTGACTGACTGACTGCTTACCCAATAACCGACTTCTGAGGACGAAATTTCCCTGAAAGTATAATTTCCTGCTCGAGTTAATACTCTCGCTATGTTCTTCCGAGACCCTGTTATACCTAATTACTTGATAAAGTTGCTTACGTTTCTCCTCGGACGTTGTCACCTTGTTGCTTTCAATGAGCAATTGGCAGAACGTCAACACAACAGGATGTCTGTGGGCCACCAACACATGAAGAAACCCAAGATATGCTATAAAACCTGTTTTAAGTTAGAGAGTAACATGCGGATTCAAATAGAGTCTGTATTATTGTTCGCGTTGTTCTTGTTGTAGCTTCCACGGCTAATGTATTTTTCGCCAAGAGACCAGTCATTATTTGTCACCAGGGGTGGGGGGGAAGGGGGGAAAGAGGATTTTGAGTGTGATTACATGGCTTTCAGTGGGTGCGAAAGGGGATCAATCGTCTCTTACAGAGCTTCAAGAAGGGAATATCGAACAATGAT